TTCATTCTACATTTTCTAAAAAAGGTGATAGCGACAATCTCATAGGTAATTTAAGTATTTGCTCATAGGTATTGATTGTGAACTATATAGTCCTATTTTGACTTGATGATTTTTCGTGCTAACGACTCTCTTGATCCTTTCTGCTTCCAGGCTATCCTCTTCTCGGTTAGAAAGGGGCCGTTAAAGCCTTTTATCCATAGATTACTGCTTACTTAGATTATACATAAAAATTTAGCAATAATTATGTTCCTTCCAGTTCCATGTTTTTGATCCTTCAACAAAACTCATATGAATGTTTCTCAAGCACTGCATTATTACTTTTGGTTGCAGCTATGACCTCTTGAAATCCTTTTATAATTTGTTTTTGTATACATTTATTAACAGAGGTGAAGGCGGCGATCGCATAGAAATCCCAAATATTTGTAGGACTTCTGAATTTTAGAAGCTAGATTTCTGAAAGAATCAAATCCACACGGTTTCAGTGTGTTTGCTAATCTGTCATTTTAGTTCTTGAGTTTCAAACATATAAATGTTGCCACTGTATGTTGTTAGTATAAGTTGTTGACTTTAAGTCTTAGTGGTTATCCTTTATGACATGATTTTCCACTTCGAAGGAACAAATAATTGGAAAGAATGCGTGATGTGGTCTCACCGAAAACCAAAAAAGAATTGCTGCGTAGGGAGGACTGTTGGATTGTGCAAAGAAGTCCTCGGCTCACTGTCCTGCTACATGCTAAGCTTTCGTCTGTACTGCGATAAACATCATCAGAGCAGGTATCCATGCTTCACGAACTAGAGCAAAAATATACTAAACCAAGAGAAAAGGTGATAGGCTGCAACCTTAACCACTTTTTATACACCAATAATTCATACACTCGTACCTTCTATCCAGAACTTTGCCTATTTTTTTTACTTTCTATATACTCCCTAATGTTAAGCTTTGACGTCACTTCCCCGTAACCCGCATAACGTTGTGTTTTGAACCAGTTTATTGATTGTCTTGTATTGCCCATGTGTTTAGCGAGCTCAGATTTTTGGACCCACAGACCTTCACAAGCGGTTTTGTGTTCGCATGGTCTCTTGTGAATAGGTCAGCAGGTCTCCCCTACATATACCTAAACAAGTGAAGTGAGGCTGGATTAACCTTGAGTGACCAATCAAATCGTGAGAGGCCTCATTAAGATCGCGAAGTTAAGGACATAAAAAGTGGCTGGGGTTGCAGCCGACCACCTTTTCTCCTGGTTTAGTATATTTTTGATATAGTTCGTGAATTATGGATGCCTGCTCTGATGATGTCTGTCACAGTACAGACGAAAGCTTAGTACAATTTCATCGATGTCGCAGAAGGGTGAGCCAAGGACTTATTCGCACAATTCAAAAGTCTTCCCTACGCGGCAATCCTCATTCGATTTCCAGTGAGGCCAGATCACGAATTCCTTCCAACCAACTTTTCCTTCGAACCGGTAGTCATGTCACAATATATTACTAAGGAGTTCTTCGAAGCCCAGTTTTTCCTCATGTTCTCCTTCGCTGTCTATGTTTGTAATCTGTAGGCTCTTGGTGCTCATGTATCCTTTTTCATTAGTGAAATAATCGTCCATCCAAATAGGATGAGCTATTCCAGCAAATCGAGTAAAAGGGGCAAGAAAAGTAAGCAGGTGTGATAATGTCTTACTAAATTCGCAAAAATGCCGCCCCTCTAGAATAGCCAAATATAAACAAGTCGGAAATTGTGATGGGGTGTAAGTCAAATTCGAGGGTATGGATTAGGTAGATGTGCCATGGCAGCATGATCGTTGGCAGAAATTTGGTCAATGTCTCTGAGGCGTTTTAGTTTGGTGCAAAGAATGTCAAAACTCATTGAAGATGCTGACTAGGGTGCCTGTGAAAAATCTGTGAACGCTCCAAGTCCATGATCCGACACTGAGAAGTATAATAATTACTATTCCAGAGAACTTCGAACAAGATGTTCAAACTTGGTCACTCTGACATAACGACCAATTTGCGAAAACGAGGTCAGACTACTTCTCCACATCGATAGGAGGCTGCGAACAAAACAGAGGTCACATTTTGATCTTCATATCTACTTTTGATCATGTAGTTAACCTTTTTTGTTATCAAAATTTTTTTCCGCCTTTAACTTTTATTGATCGACTAAGACCAAGGATACAGAGCAATTTTCTCATCCATCGCTTTCTGTCTTTCGGTTGCGCTTCTTCAATACCAGAGTCATGCATACGCGGCTGGGATATCTGTTTAATATACTTGGCTATGCTAGGCAATAGATGAATTCACCTTTATTCCGACGTCATACCACATTGCCTTCTGTTTCGTAGATTTTTTGTGACCGCAGTACCGGCTATACCTGAACATATAACTTCATCCGGATTGGCTCTTCTCGGGCCATTGATTTAGGCCCATTGATTTAGGGCTAATCATATTTTTTTACTCTTGATATATTAATCTTTTCACCGATTGCTCTACTATAGGATCGAAAATAAATTACCCATATGGCTTAATATATAATAGCTCGTTTCGATAGAGTGCAAAGGCCGGTGCACAGACAGTTGTCCAACACTAAAGCTCTATTAAGTCATATGAAACACAAACTAGTTGATGAACAAGGATAATCGGTTTCTTTTATACCAGTAATTAAGCATTAACGCACACTACAAATAGGCATATGCCCATTTGTATGCCAAATTGTACGCAAACTATGCTTACTAAAATATATGATACATGCTTAAATTATTAAATGTACAGCTACATACTTGTCTAAGATCGACCTTAGATCGCGACATGATTAATATACACGTTTCTTATTGGCTTTAAAATTATCAGCCAACCCAGGACGTTGTGTATATGCGTTTATCGACACTTGTCGATTTTCGACCACTTATTTTGCTGAATTGTAGTCTACTTTGAATGTCTTTACTCCCCCGGCTCATGTATTCTAAAATTTGGATAAGCGGACAAGCCGCCTATTTTCCTCTTGTTGCTTAGCTTGTTTATTATTCCGTTACACTTCTTCACCAGCACATTCTGAATGGCTGGATCACATCTGTGCTTTCTTGAACTTCTTTCCTTTAAATTATTCAATCGTTCAAAGCTTCCGTCGAGAAGTTCTTCGCAGCCCTCTTCATCCTCAGTGAGTCTACTACCTAGGAGCTCCTAACTATTTCATTTAATCAGATCCTTTGTATAAAAGCTTATATATAAATTATGGGTATCTTCGTATGAAGTCTATTCATGCAAATACAAATTGACGATTTTTGTATACTTTTAGGCCATATCCCTGCAATGCAAAAGTTCCTTTATGACTAGCTAGTTGATGTGTCTTTAAAACAATTTACACTGTTCAATATGCATTAATTTTAATTTATAATATAAGGCTTTATTTATTTCACTGAATTTCTCTAGCCTCTTCCTTAAGCCTGATTTATTCACTTATTCTACAAGATGTACTCTTCTTACGCCTGTTTTCTTAACTCATATAATTTGATGTCCAGAATTTTAATATTCACTTTAGTATACCAAAGCTTTAACTCAATCCTGCTTTTTAACTGCTAGTAATATTTAAGAAGGAAAAGAGCAAGGCATATTTGAGTGTGAGTAATGCTTCAACTTTTATCTGTTGCAGAGCAATTGATACCTAGCAAACTTTGCCATCAAGCCGAGACTGCCACTACTAGCATATTCATTATCTGAACACTATAGCCAAGATTTAACGAAAGAGTTATGTCTGAACATTAATACTTGTCCTTACAATTTCTCATATCTTTATATATGTATATATATATATATATATATATATATATATAAACTTTTTCTAGGACGATAAGACTCAAATGTTATGAGCTTTTAATATCTCTCCTAATCTCTTTTTACTCACATTTAATCAAAGCAAAGTTATTTTTTATTTTTGTACCATAATATATGCGCATAGAGGTAATCCTAATATAAGTTTTATTTTTTAATGAATTTTGGACGACATTGTTATACACTTTTTCTAGTGATCTGTTTGCCCCAAACTCTTATTCTTTATACTTGTTCGTCCTATAGATCCAAAACGAAGGCTAATAAAAGGACTAACAAAGCTACCTTAGAGATTCCATTGAATTTGCCAGAAATGATTGCTTGGCTACTCTCAGGCATTGCCATCTTATTTTTCGTATATCAACACAGTTTCGAGACTACACGTAACTCAGTTATATGAGATGTAGTCATCCTATTTCTTTTATGTGATGAGGGACTAGTAGTAGAATTTTTCCACAATACTAGGAGTAGAGCTTACGTTTTCACATAGCCTTGATTTCCCAAAAGTTGTTCTTATCAAAGCTGTACTGCAGTTTCGACCTCGCCCAGGTCTTATCAGCACCCCCAGCGGGTGTTGAATCGTGACAGTGCAGGGCACTCGTGGCAATGTGGCGTATTGGTTAACGTGTCGAGCTTACACGCTGCACCGTCACTGGTGGTATCGATAAGACCTAGGCGAAGTCGAACCTGCAATCCACCCTGAATGAGAACAGCTTTGGGGAAAATAATGCTATGTGAAATTCAATGGAAACGGCAGCCCTATTCATATAATTGTGGGAAAATTCTACTACCAGTCCTTCATCATCTTAAACGAAATAGGATAAATACATATCATATAACTGTCATCTTATATCTTTGGCGTCCAGTTCATATTAGATCTTAGCTTGCTGTTATACTTAAGTTTGGTCTACATTATTTTCTTCGAATGGGTTCTTGTTTGCCAGGTTGCTTAGGGGTATAATAAACCGGTAGTTAATTTTCACTTAATGATATGAGTACGCCTCGTATTTTATGAATTTAGTTTAGCCTTGCCTCTGTGAATATACTCATCCAGGGTTGACAGGATTTTTCACCTTGCTTGGATCTCATCAACATTCAGTTAGAGCTAACTCGGCTTGTACATCACTAATTGACCACTCATGCATCCCACTTGTTGACGGTGCGCCATACGGCCACGGATGCCGGTGGATCACTGAGCGGAGGTGATTTTCAAAGCAATTCGTATCTCTCCCTTATCACGTTTCAATAGTGCGATTGTTGCGGCAGTAGACATTTATTTGCCCATAAAATTGTAGGAAATACATTTTCGAGACTGATAGTCTATAGTAGTTCGTTTCCAAAGTAACTCATTAACTCGATAACTCTGAAAGCATACAAGCATCCCAGTCCTTAAAAACAAAATTAATTTCGATGTGAGTAGTTTTTTTGGGACTATCAGTATGTCTTTAAGGAGTACTTAGTGCCTCTAGGTCGCTTGCGATGATTTAAGAAATGATATTTGTATTTTCTCACGATCAGATGAATAGACCTCACGATGCCATTTAGTCTTGCCTCGTAAACGCTTATCCTATCCAGGATGAACTGTGATTTTGACCTTGCCCGGGTCTCATCAAAAACCTAGCGGGAGTTAATTCCTGGTCTTGGCGATGGTACCACTTCCATGCGGCTATTGGCTTCACTGTTCTTTATGTATATTACCTATCTGATAATCTATTTCACTCTATGTTGTTTTCATGCAACTATTTTAGCACGCCGGCTCCTCTATTTCTTTCGAGGGTGATACTAACTTAACCACGTCCACCTCAGATGTCGCGACCAGTAGCCACCTTGACAACGACCCTGAGGCCAGCTCCATGGTGTCTGGCAGTCTAGCTGGTGCCGGCGATCGGCCGCCTGACGATCTTATGGAGTCTATCGAGGTTGGAGGACCAGCAGTTAGGACCGGGCCAGTTACAAGCGGTGTACTCAAGTTTAAAGCCGTTGGTTTGACAGGATCTGGTGTCGGGCCTGCAAAGATGCCTACTGGTCGATTGACAGCCAATCGACACATACTCCCACCCTCTACCAGAGGATCTTCCCAAGGACCTGTAGTCCGCCGACAACAAGGGCGTCGGTTACCAACCAGTCGGCCAGATTGCAATGTATTAGAAGCTAGCTCTCCACTGGCCAACTCTAAATTAGCCAATATGATGCGTTCAGCGCTGGTAAATGTCACTTCCGGCGAAACTGTTGTCGCCGGAGGCAGTAATGTCGACGGAGATCCAGCCAAGTTGCAATCATATCGTTCTAGGCCGCCTGCCGACAACCTGAGCCCTGGCTTTGTAGGCGGTCGAAGACGCCATCGCATTCCAGCCACTGAAGATGACTTTGAGGAGGAGGATAGTGATGAGGCTCGTCTTCTTTCACGAGCGACACCATTGTCTCTATTATCAGGGCAAGCTGGCGCTCGACAGTCACTTTTGCTCACTGTAAACGAAGAAAATGAACTCGTTTTAATGCCTGTCTCGCCGATTCCGGATCCTGTCACTACCTCATCCACTTCCAGGACCCCATTAAATGTCTTGCCTGAACTGAGTCACAGCCAGGCATTACTTGACTCACCGCGAGTTTTAAAGCCATCTAACTTTGGTGCCAACAGTTTCTCAGCTGGTCTGAATCGGTCGCAAGCACAACCAGTTTCTCAGCCCCGGATACGCAATCTTCGGCGACAGCCGGTAAATCGTCTTAGAAGTCGATTAACCAATGCTCAAGATGTACCAGCTAATCTTGATGTTTCAAATTCATCTTCGACCTCTTGTCATGACGTTGAATTGCCGCGAGTAGTTCCTATGCATGTCACTTGCCTATCCAGTGGTGAGGAGGAGGATTCGGATACAGATTTCGACAGAATTCATGCAATCAATGCTCTATTGGCAGAAGAGGACGAGGATGGCGAAACGGTAGGAGAGACGGATCAAAGCCTGAACTATGAGCATAGATTGTCGGCAGAGACCAGAACCTCAAGTGGAGCAATAAACTTTGCTGATGGACTCCTAGGTGTAGAAGAGTCTGAAATACTTGTTGATGAAGCCTCCTGTTATCAGGACGGTATGACAGAGACTTTGCCTCTTTATGAGGACGCTCTTCGTTTGCTTTCTTCAAATAGGTCCTGACTTATCTACACTTTTAGATAATTTTTATACGAAATTTTTCTCGTCAAC